ATATATATATGTATATAAATAAAATGGAGGCTGATATTGGATTTTTGGCAGATATCTGATATGCCGATATGTTACAATTTATTTGGCCGATAACTGATACCAATACCAATTTTTTTTCCCCTACACCTCCTGACAGAGACTACATATCTTTCTCTGTTGTGTAATTAAAATACTACAGTATTCTGCATGGTCTTTGTCAATTTGGCCTGATACCTAATGCAGGTGCCAAAAAGGGGGCTGAAAATGATGCAACCCTTCAACTTGGATTATGTTTAATGTCAAACTCATTCATGACATTTACTCTAACACAATGACATCACTCAAACAGTGCAAATTTATAAAGTTTCACAAATCTAAACTCAACCTGTTCACAAGCGACAAGGGAAAAGCACATACGTAGTAGTGCATTAGTAGATAGACTTGACAGTTTCTTCAATTAAAAATTATTTTAAAACAGAAGCCCAATATGCGGTTATGCAATCTTAATGATCAACTCAAATCTCTATGAATTCTGCTTTGTGAAGGCATCCTTGTCACTGGGTTGTCATACAAAAACAGTCCCATATATATATATGTGCCTTTTGTATTGGTGAGTTATTTTTGATGGACTGGCCGATGTCCGATATTTAACTTTACTGCTGATACAGATACCATGCCAATAATATTGTTAATCCCTTATATATATATATATATATACAGTATGTATATATATATATATATATATATATATATATATATATATACAGTATGTATATATATATACAGTATGTATATATATATATATATGTGTGCGTGTGTTTGTGTGTATATGTATATATATAAATATATATATTTTTGAAGTAAATATTTATGAAGCCAAATTTCAAGTTTTTTTTCTTCATTAAAACACAAGAAGTTACCTTCGTGTTGCAGCTTTCCTGACACCCTCATCAGACAGCAAAACACAGCCTGAAGTTCAGCAAGACAAACTAAAATAAAGTATTTTACAAATAAAACATTTACATCAATAGATCAAATGTGCAATTTAAAAAAATAATGAAAGGTCAGGTAGAAAAATGTACAACTAGGCTTCAGATGTGTGAACAGGCAAAGAAAGAATCAGAAGGAAACAACAAGCCCCTTGTTGTGCATCCTCTTCTTTGAAATATGTCCTCCCTGAGCAGCCGACCGACTGGACGGCCTTCATCCTGACTCGTCTTCATCGTCATCCTCCTCCTCTTCACAGGTTGGGTCAAATGCATGTTGCTCTTCTCACAGACAGAGTGTGACTTTGGGGTTTCTTTTAAAATAAGACAGGTGTCAGGTCAAAACATGAATATTCTAATAATAAATGACAACAAGCAGCATTTGCTTTTATGTGTGTGCACTATTTCCAGTCTCTGTGACTAATACTATTGATTGCTGAGTTGATTAAAAAAGTAAAGTCTAACCTGAAGATGAAGAATCAGGAGAAAATCAGGTGGGTAAAGCTAACAGTTCTGCACAAAGAAATTTACAGGTAAAATGAAAAAGAGCACAAAAAATTAAAAAGAATAAAACCCCAAAGAACAGCAGAAAGAAAGAATCACAGCAATGAAAAAGAAACACCGGTCACTTCCAGTGATGAATTCACTGACTGGTATTCATTCTATGTTTCTTCAAATTCTTCAGTTTCCTATTAAAATGTGCCTTCAGAAGAAAGAAAAAGTTTCAGAATGATTGCAGAAATTTTGAGGAACAAAGCATGCGACTCACTGTTGAGGACTGATTATCATGTGATCGCTCAAGTTTGATACGGGCGTCGCCGGTCTTCCCTCGATCAGGTTTCCCAGGCCCTGCAGGAGGAACAGCAGGAAGTTAAACCAGTAACACATGCAGTAACATGCACTGCATCCACAGATCTGCTTATTTTTTTCATGTATTTTTATTTTAAACTTACTAATTTGATCATTTATGCAAAGCAATTTGCAATGTTAACACAAAGAGGTCAAGAAACAAAAACTTTAACTTTTCCTATCATTTTTTATTTTTCTCTCTTGAAGACAAAATTATCCACGTTACGTTGAGATGCTACTTTATAAAAATTAGTTTCAGTGAATGCGTATTTAGTCCCACGAAAATAAACCTATTAACCTTTTACCCTTGATCTTGTTGAATTCCTCGTTTACAAAGATGAATCTAGAGGCAGTGAACATCATTCATACTGTGAGCAGAAGAGACATTCTGCTAAAATGAATTTTTTTCAGTGTTTCACATGGAAAACATTTATCTCTATGCAACCGTCTCTTAATGAGACCTTTACCATCACCTGTTGTTCCAGAGGACCACAGACAACAAAGAAAACCTTTATTTATAAACGATCCATTAATAGTTGACTTTTACAAGTCAGGATGATAACATGTGTCTTGGTGATCAAATAAAAACTACAATTCTCGCATTAAATTAGTGAACCAAAGTAAGAAGTGTTGCTCATGTCATGATGAAATAGTTTGATTACAAAGCCACCATGTGTTAGTCATGAAAAAGTCATGAAAAAAAAACTTAATTTATACTTGATGTCTTCCATAGTTCTTGTTTCTAAGAATGTATATACCCTGTATAAATATACACACCACCTGTTTTCCATTAGTAATCAGTACTTATTGATTCCAGCATTTTCTGTTTCACGCCACCTTTTTGCAGCTCCTGAGTGGCAGATAGAGGTTTCTTCTCCTTAGCTCTGGTTCATCTCTCTGATGTGCCACCTGCTGCATTTAAGGACCGAGGCTGACAGTGAGACATTACTTATGGCATTCAGTGAGAGGCCAGAGTTCCTAGAGCAAATGAAGACACTGTGCAATCATCTTGTTTTCTTGTGCTCCTCGCAGATGAGAATCTGTTCCCTGTGTTCAGGTTTGCGACTCACCTTCATCCTCCTGCTAGTGAAGGGCACATGAAGCCTCATGAAGCACTGAGGCTTTTCTTACATTTGTACTGGAAAAGATTCAAAATGGGTGGCACTGTGGCTCAGTTGGTAGAGCTGCTGCCTTGCAGAAGGTCGTCGGATCAAATCCTGGCCAGGGTCCTTTCTGGGTGGAGTTTGTGTGTTCTCTTTGTGCATGCGTGTTTCCTCCGTGTACTGTACTCTGGTTTCCTCCCTCAGTTTTCTTGCACAGTGATAGCTGGACATGGGCACCAAAGACCCCCCATGACCCTGGAGCAGGTGAGAAGTTCAGCTACAGCCTAAACTGTCTGTCAGAAACTCCAGTGGTTCACAGATTTGAAACCAAGCCTGTGGAAGGGGCTTGTTGGTGAGTTCCTGGTGACTGGCTCTTTACCCATGGGGCCCAGTCTGGCTCAGCCCAATTCAACTTCATGCAACAGACTTGCCTACCTGTGGAGATACTACCTGCTATAAGGGTAGGGTGCAGGAGGCTTTGGTGCTCTGACCCTGACTTACTACACTGGTTCTTGAGATACAGAATGTCACCTCTCTGGTGAGGAAGGAGTCCAAGCTTGTGTGAGAGGTTGAGAGGTACTGACTAAATATAGTTGGGCTCACGTCAAAGCCTGTTTCTGGAACTAATCTTCTTGAGAGATTGCTGGACCGTATACCATTTTGGAGTTGCCCATGGTGAAAGGAGCTGGGCCAGTGGGCTTACTTACAGTATAACCCTGCTTGGGACCTGTGCATTGAAGCTTTCTTTGGAGGATGAGGGGGTAGCTTTCACTTGTCTTTGGGTGGATGTGATAAGCTCTAACTGTTGTTTGTGCCTGTGCGCCAAATGGCAATTCAGAGTTCCCACCCTTCTTGGAGTCCTAAGCAGGGGTGCTGGAAGGTGCTCCAGCTGGTGTCTATTGTATTCTGCTAAAGGACTTTAAGCCCAGGTGGGTGGCAGCACCCGGACACCCTAGACCACACACTGATGATAGCCTCTACAGTTGTGTTATCTTATCTGTGGTCAAATGTTTTAAACTCGTGGGTGAAGAGAGGAGCGGATCTGTTTGATCACCATCTATAGTTAGTTGGATCGGATGACAGGGAAAGATAATGGACGGACCATAATTCAATTCAGTTTCAGTTCAGAATATTTATATACTGTTGAGCCAAGTCACAACAGAAGTCATCTCAGGGAACTGTACAAAAACATTCACATACATACAAATGCCAATTAGTAAAAGTTGTCTATTCCGTCACGGTCTCTCTTATGAGCAAGCACAATGGCAACAGCGGAAAGGAAAACTCCCTTTTAACAGGAAGAACCCTCCGAATTGAATCCCTCTCCTTATCAAGCTGGCAGTCCATCTTTACAGGTCTTAAATCTCCTTGTCAATGGAGCTGTGCTTTACCACCAGCTGGTAAACGTGGCTGTCTGGCTGCTATCTCTCAACTTTTGTTTGCTGTGAGTATATCATCCAGCTCGATTCTCAGTTCTCTCCATCTCAGGAATCCTGCCCCATCACTCTGCAAACATACCCATCTGTCTGCCAGCTGTTCTGTCGCCTCAGTCCTGCACGCTCCATGGATTATTCCACTACCTAACACTTAATCAAATGGGCAAATAGATATCCACCTAAGCAGTTCCTTGTATGCACTTGGATCCACCTGTTACTTTTAAGTCTTTACAAACACCAATCCTATTTCTATGAAAATCATCAGGTACTAATGCAGGACTAAGAAAAGCCACTTTCTAAAGAAATCTAACAAAGTTAAGTCAGGTCCTCTACATGTATTAAAAAAATAGTTGAAACGTTTCATCTTTTGTCCAAATGACTTTCTGATGGAGAACATTTGCAAACTGAGGTGTACAACAAACCCACCCACACAGATCAGTATTTGCAGTTTGACTCCCATCACACTCTGGAGCACAAGTTAGGAGTCATCAGGAATTTGTACCACAGAGCAGACAGCGTCCCCACTAACTCAGGAGCCAGGCAGAAGGAGAAATCCCACACAAGACAGGCTGTAGAGCAGGGGTCTGCAACCTGTGGCTCTGGAGCCACGTGTGGCTCTCTGGTCCCTCTGCAGTGGCTCTTTCAAGCTTTGATCAAAACTGAAATAAAACTGAATTTTATTGGTTATACAAACAACAAAAAAGGTCTAGTTCAAACAGTTTTGCTGTCATTTCTTTTGTAAATATGTGAACACTGCAGTGAGTACAAGGAGTAAAACGTATGTGTTATTTATTTATATGAAGAATTGTCTGCGTAGCTTATAGATTTATTAATTAAAAAAAAGATGGTTAAAACAAAAAAAAAGTCCCCCCTTTACAAGAATCTGATATTTTTCTTTAATAAATGTTAAAAATCATTAGATAGTTTTGCTTTATAATGTGTCATAGCTCTGCTCTCTGTCAGCTCCTCTGTCATGCTGCACACTCAGTAATCACTCAACTCATGTCACCTGTCACCGCTCATTATCCCACAGCTCCACCACCTGGTCCAGTCAG